CCTGACCCTGACCCTGTCCTGACCCTGTCCTCAGGTGTTACTGTCCTGACCCTGACCCTGTCCTGACCCTGACCTCAGGTGTTACTGTCCTGACCCTGACCTGACCCTGACCCTGTCCTGACCCTGTCCTCAGGTGTTACTGACCTGACCCTGACCCTGTCCTGACCCTGTCCTCAGGTGTTACTGTCCTGACCCTGACCCTGTCCTGACCCTGTCCTGACCCTGACCTGACACTGACCCTGACCTCAGGTGTTACTGTCCTGACCCTGACCCTGACCCTGTCCTGACCCTGACCTCAAGTGTTACTGTCCTGACCCTGACCTGACCCTGACCTCAGGTGTTACTGTCCTGACCCTGACCCTGTCCTGACCCTGACCCTGACCTGACCCTGACCTCAGGTGTTACTGTCCTGACCCTGACCTGACCCTGTCCTGACCCTGACCCTGTCCTGACACTGACCTCAGGTGTTACTGTCCTGACCCTGACCTGACCCTGACCTCAGGTGTTACTGTCCTGACCCTGACCTCAGGTGATTCTGTCCTGACCCTGACCCTGACCTGACCCTGACCCTGTCCTGACCCTGTCCTCAGGTGTTACTGACCTGACCCTGACCCTGTCCTGACCCTGTCCTCAGGTGTTACTGTCCTGACCCTGACCCTGTCCTGACCTGACCCTGTCCTGACCTGACCTGACCCTGACCTCAGGTGTTACTGTCCTGACCCTGACCCTGTCCTGACCCTGTCCTCAGGTGTTACTGTCCTGACCCTGACCCTGACCTGACCCTGACCTCAGGTGTTACTGTCCTGACCTGACCCTGACCCTGACCTGACCCTGTCCTGACCCTGACCTCAGGTGTTACTGTCCTGACCCAGACCTGACCTGACCCTGACCCTGACCTCAGGTGTTCCTGTACTGACCCTGCCCTGACCTGACCTGACCCTGACCTCAGGTGTTCCTGTCCTGACCCTGACCTGACCCTGACCCTGACCTCAGGTGTTCCTGACCTGACCCTGTCCTGACCCTGACCTGACCTGACCCTGACCTGACCTGACCCTGACCTCAGGTGTTCCTGTCCTGACCCTGACCTGACCCTGACCTCAGGTGTTCCTGACCTGACCCTGTCCTGACCCTGACCTGACCTGACGTGACCCTGTCCTGACCCTGTCCTGACCTTGACCCTGACCTCAGGTGTTCCTGTCCTGACCCTGTCCTGACCCTGACCTGACACTGACCCTGACCTCAGGTGTTCCTGTCCTGACCCTGACCTGACCTGACCCTGACCTCAGGTGTTCCTGTCCTGACCCTGTCCTGACCCTGACCTGACCCTGACCTCAGGTGTTACTGACCTGACCCTGTCCTGACCCTGACCCTGACCTGACCCTGTCCTGACCTGACCCTGACCCTGACCTCAGGTGTTCCTGTCCTGACCCTGACCTGACCCTGACCCCAGGTGTTCCTGTCCTGACCCTGTCCTGACCCTGTCCTGACCTGACCCTGACCTCAGGTGTTCCTGTCCTGACCCTGACCTGACCTGACCCTGACCTCAGGTGTTCCTGTCCTGACCCTGTCCTGACCCTGACCTGACCCTGACCTCAGGTGTTACTGACCTGACCCTGTCCTGACCCTGACCTGACACTGACCCTGACCTCAGGTGTTACTGTCCTG